GGCAAAGGTAAAATTTATTCAGCTAAGAATAAATGACAGTTTTAATTTGGTAAGGGTGCAATCTAGTTCCCTGTACTCTTGTTGCACATAAGCCTCCAAACTTGGAGGCTTATGTGAGTCCTATGGATGGAAGTCTCACACCATGTATTTTATCAGGATAGTGGGGAAGAGTGAGGAAGGAGGCTGGGATACCAATAGGAATTGATGCAAGCCTTCATTCCTCTGTTCCCCAGCCCTCTCCTCCTCCTCGGATGCCCTGTTCTGCTTTCTCTGGGGTACAGTTGCAACTTGGGAGAGATGGAGCTGTTGCAGTTCTTTTCCTGACAGCCATCAGAGGCTGGGTGGGCCTGGGGCTCAGTCTTGGGCATCCCAGTTCCAAGATCATGGGGTCTGAATGCTGAGACGCTGAATACTTCTATGGCCCCTGATGCTGGACTGTATCCTAAATCTACTGAAGTGTACACAGGACTGTATCCTAAATGTTATATGTGTTTTTTCTGTATATTATTAGTTGTGATCACAGCAAGTAATAATATACAGAAAACAGATATAGAATCACATGCATATACACCTCCACAAGGCTTTAATATATAGTGGTACCTTGGCTCACGAATGCCTTGGTTCATGAATAAATCGGGACACGAACAAAAATTTCTGAAAAATTTTGGCTTGGGTCGTGAACACTGCTTTGGGTGGCGACCAAGATTGCAGCCATCTCTCCCCCCCCCCCCCAGAGTAGGGAGATGACCATGATTGCAGTTCTGTTCGTGCAGGGAAGGCGTGCGTGATCAGAGGCGTGTTGCTGCAGGAAAGATGGGAGCAGCAAAGCAGAGCTGCGGGGGAGATGGCCGAGATTCTGCCTGTCTTTCCTGCACCAGTGCGCCTCTGATCAGGCACCCCTTCCCTGCATGAACAGAACTGCGATCGCGGCCATCTCCTCACCTGCAGCGCACCGTTTGCACCCATCTCCCTCCCCCAGTGCACCTGCGATTACTCCCGTCTCTCCCCTCCACCCCCCAGTGCGCCAGGATGACAGTCGTGTGCAGGGATGACAGGCGTGTGCCGGGATGACAGGCATGATCTCGGTTGTGCTGGGGGGGGTGGGGGGGTGGCCGTGATCCTTGTTGTCACTTTGCTTCACATTTTTCTGATTTAAAAAATGGCATCCGTTACAGAATGGATTAACCTTATTTACATTGAACCTTATGGGGAAATTTAACTTGGCTCATGACCAATTTGGGTCACGACCTGAGTCCTGGAACGGATTAAGTTCGTGAGCCAAGGTACCACTGTATACACAAATATATTAAAGCCCTGTTGGCGGTGGGGGGACATCTACACATGTATACTCTGATCCAGTTAACAACCATATGAAACATGGAAATTGATTCCAGAAGGTTGAGGAATGCCAAATTTGGAGTTGGATCTTTAAATAAAAATGTCTAGCTTTCTGAATTGCTGAAGGAATGATGGTAAATGTGATGGCACAACCAGAAGAACAAAAATCTTCTAAATGAACAGAAACTAAGATGATGATAGGGAGGGAAATCTCATATAATAAATATCCAGCACATCTCTTGAACAACATGTGATGATTTTTCATGGACTCAGGGATTTTCAGTGCTTGAGAGTAAGAATGAAAACACTGTTAGGGGAAAACATATTCTAGCAACTGACCTTGGACATTCTGACTTAGGTAATTACCAGTTACTTTGAATATTCAATACCCAGGCAGGGCACCTTGGTCATCCTAGTAAATACCCTAGTAAATGACATATACTCAGAGACAAGCAGGTGGTGTGTGATTCTCCTGGACTTTTGATGACTTTTTAAAACCAAGAATATCATGTCCTTCTGGGCTGCCTTGCAGGGTGGTGCTAGGATGAACTCTGTATTTAGACGGCTCAAATCATTCCTGGGAAGCAGATCCCAGAAGGTGGTGCTAAAGGGCTATTGCTCTGTTCTTGTATGTATTCACTTAATATCATGGGATATTAGTGTATCTTGTTCTTCATGCTTTTAAACATTTGTAGTGTAGATTCTACATGAAATTGCTGAGTGAAGCCATCTGGAGATTTGCACCAAGATGTCATTAGTATTATCCAGCTCTGTCTCTAATTTTCAGTGAATTTTGCGCAATCTTGGCTGCTTACTGATTTTTTTTTCCTGGGTTGAGTTAAATGTATTGTTCCTTACTTTTAGAGTCCTAAAATGTTTAGGGCAATCTTCTCTAACCTGGTAACCTCCAGATGTGTTAGACATTGTAGTTCAACACACCTGGAGGTGGAGAAGGTAGCTTAAGGCCTGGATATTTTCAGACTGTCTTCTTCCATATTTGCTCCCTCACGCTTTCTGCTCAGTATCCAAGGTCAAACTCTGATGCCTCCCCACCATGGCATTGTGGTCGGCTATGAGGGAATGGGCCTTACTCATCGCAGAAATCCCATGGAATGCTCTCCCCACATAGCCCCATTAGAGCATGTTTAGGTGTCTGGCAAATACCCATTTATTTCTAGGGATCTTCACTGTTTTCTCCTCCACTGTTCTAATGGGGTCTTACCATATTTTGTATGGTTTTATCTTATATAACACCTTGAAAAGGTTCTACTCTCAAAGCGGCATACAAATAATTTGAAAAAAAAAGATTTTGTGCTATTCATAGAATACTTGTTTATAGAAATGTAAATCCAGCATTGCTTTATTATTTGATTTTGTAGTATTTTGTAACCCTATTTTAAAGGTTATATTTTGACTGTTCTAATCTTCTATGGCTGTCTGGAGGGATGCTGGGATGTCATGGTTTCTTCTGTGCTGGAGTAGGGATTAGAAAGCAGCCTCCCCCCATAGTGTACAGCCCTGGGAGAGTGACTTCAGACAATCCAATGGTTCCTGGGATGCTTTCCTGGGACCATAAGATTGTGCCCTTAGTTCCTTATTTTATTTATTTCTTTAAATAATGCACAGCATTCATGTTTTGTAAATTATGTGTTATCAGCAAATTCATAGTAACTCTTATCCCTGGCTCACTGAAAACTCTATTTGCTGATATGGGCCAGGGAAAACAGCAAGTTCTGTATATATTAATTTATTTTGTTGAAATTTGTATCCTGCTTTTCTAAGGTATGCAGTGCGATGCAAACAGGATTATCTTTCCCCAGCATACGCATTTAACAAGCATGAGAAGTTTAGTTTCCTGGTCCAAATCCAGCACTGTGTGCACTGTTCTGGTAATAAGCAAAAATGGTCTGTCATTTATTACTGGACTGCTGGGCAATTTCTGATTGCTGAGATTTTGGGAGGAAAACCCATACAAGACAGGGGCCACCTCCTTCTTCACCAAATAATCCCAGCTCTCTACTGCCACTCCCTCTGCTTAATTGATGCATGTGGCCAGGTTTGTAGCAAAACCCAGATCATCGAGAAATTAGTAGGCTCAAAAGAAACCCCAGATTTGTACAAGCATGAAAAAAGTGACAGGGAGGTGGAAGAAAGGAGGAAACAGAACCCTCCCAAAACGGGTGGAGGAGGACTAGCATGTTTTGAGCCCACAAAGTGTATGTCGGGCAGGGAACCCAGTGGTGTGGGAGCAGGATTGGAATGGAGTGCCTTGGAGACAGGTGGGTGGCTGTCAGCCTGAAAAGGCACATTCTATACTACAATATCTTAGTGCAATTTTAAACCAAACCCAAAAATGGTAATTTTTTGATATGTAATATATATTGTACAAGCAAGCACCCTTGAATTAACAAGCGTGTATTCCCCAAATGGACTAATTAATTCTAGATTAATTTATTCCAAATATATGCTGCAATGAGGTTTTGTCTGCATCACCAAAATCCAATTAAGATGTTTCTTCCTTTTTCCAGACACAAGATTCATTACAGGGTCTGCACAGGAAATTGAACTGATACTACACAGGTCTGAGTTCTAGATGAAATCATGTTATCCTAAAATTATTCTGCACTGGATTTCACATGGCTTCTGATGAGTCAAATAACATGTTTTGCCAGTTATGTTTTCCTATGCATATATAGAGGCATGATTATCATCTATTGCCTAAACAGCAACGGAAAGCAACACTGGTAAGTTTTGTTACACTAATCAGACAAGGATATTAGACTAAGCATGCAGCCCTGTGCATATTTTAATAGAAAGTAAATCCAATTGAATTCAGTGGGGGTTACTTTCAGATTAATTTCCATAGACTCAGATTACACTTTTCCATTTGGATAAAGTTGTAGTGCAGCAGGAAGGGAGATGTTTAACCGGTTCCCTTGTCAGTTAAAGCACTTATTTCAAAACTAGAAGATTGTTTCAGTTCAACAACTCTGGATCCGAATTAGAGAATGTAACTGTACTTGGGTCTGACCTGAACGGGGAAAGTGTAAGCAAAGCTTTGATTTTATTCTGGTTATTAAAAACAAAAAGGCACTTCCCCGCTTATGGTACAGTTTGCGATCAAATAACAACGTCCTCTTCTGCCAGTGTCCCCATCCCCACCGCCACCTTAGTCCTTTTATTTTGGTTTACCCCTTTTTAATTTCTGTGGCCGCTTCTGCCTTTGTCTAGCCTGCGTGCGTCTACCGGACAGCTTCCCCCTCCTCCAGCTTTCCCTGCGCTCGGTTTGTGTAACCGAAGCCCTCATTTCCTGGTAGAATCTCTTAAAGAGGCAGGACAGGAGAAACCACAGACAAAAGGCTATTGTTTTATTTCCTTTGCCTTTCTTCCTTGATTCTTCTTTCTTAAATATCATAGCATGCTGTTGGATATCGGATTATGTCGTTCTCGATAATTCTTTAAACATTGTCCTGATGTTCATAGTATTTTAATTTATGCAAAGCCCCTCCCCCGCCACTACCACGCTGTTCTGGTGGTGTTAACTAGCTATGCTACGTTTGTAAATGCGGCATCCAGACCGATCCTGTACATGGTTGCACAGTAGTGAGTGCTGAAATAGTCAGTGGGGATTTTTTACCATCCTATAAATATGTTTAGCATTGCAGCTGTGCAGGCTGACCATCTCTGTGTTAATTCCCCCGACTTCACTGGAACTTACTGCCAGATCAAGTGTGCATATTACTGCGCCTTTACAACCAGATTCTCTATTCCCATATTCAGAAGTAAGTCTTACTTTTTCAGTGGAGTTTGCATCCAAATAAATATAGAATATCAATTTTTGATTGCGCTGGTATGCACACTTAAACCGTGCCAACAGAGACCCAGGATCAGACTACGCGATTCTGAAGTGCTTTCTCGGAAGTAAATTTTACCAAGTTGAATAGGGCTTAATCTTTTAGTGTTTGTGTATAGCATCGCAGTCTATAAGTGAATCTGTACTTTTCAACAGATCTTTTATCAAGGCCGCCCCCCTCATTCAGCCCTGTTCTGTTTCCCGTTTCTTCTTTTGAGATGGGAGCGAAATTCTTTTATGGTTCCTTGTTCTTTGCTCATCAGTTTATTCGTCCGGATTTCTCATGAATCCGGAGCATGCTTTTGTGACTGCCGATCCACCCCCTTCCACTCCAAGGATCCCTTTTATTTATTTCCTTGTAACCTAAGCTCTTTTTTTTTTCAATTTCCTGGTGGATCCGGCTCCTTTAAGAGGCAGAGCGCAATGCTGGGAACTCACGTCACTTTTCAGCCCAGAAACTCTCCAGATCAATGAGCAAAGAAAAGCCGCTTTTCACAGTTCTGTCTTTCAGTTTCTCTCTTCCAGGAAAAGGAAAATCCCCACATTCACAGATCAGAAACGGAGAAAAAGAAAGAGGGGGAAGGGACCTATTGAGAAAGCGCTAATACCAGCTCCTGGCATTGATAAAGCTTCAACTCCCTACCCCCACCTCGTTTCTTTATTTTTTTTAATTCAAAGCCTAAAACGCAAAACTGAACCATGCAAGACTTTTCTCCCATGGTAAATCTGCTACAAACCTTGCGGGTTTTTCTTTTTGGAAAGATGATCGGAGGAACTTCTCTATAAAACGCCTGCGGTTGGCTGGGAAAGGATTTCTGCTGGGGTTGGAGGAAGAGGAAAGGAAAGAGGAAAGAAAGAAAAAAAAAGAAAGCGGAGAACTTCCTGGTCTCTTTATTTCCTCCTCTTCTGAGAAATGTCTGAAGGTTCTGGCCAGTGTTGTATCAAGGTAAAAATCAATTTTTAAAACATCAATTTTTAAGATCTACCTAGAGCTGGTAAGTTTGCTTCTCGGTAAATAAACGATAATTGCGATACATACTGTTTTCGGAGTATGCTTTTAGGAGTTGCGTTGAAGCGGAAATAAGCAAATGGGTGCTGTATTTTTTCTCCCCCTTCAGCTTTGGAGTGACACTCTTTTCTCTCCTCTTGGTTTGTTTCTTTTCAAAGAAGATCAGTACAGACCCTTCTTCATAAAGTGGTGGAAATCAAGCTTGCTTTCTGTTTGTTTTCATTTATGGTTTTGGCAGTAAACTCCCGAGTGGGTTTACTCTTATTACACGGCTGGTATCTTGCACAGGAAGGTCTGGTCGGTATGAAGTTACTCCAGTATTCGGAGAAGTAAAAGTTTTAAGGGCCTCATCTTATGCATGTTTAAAAAGAAATAAGTCCTACAACTCCCAATATTTCCCAGCTAGCATGGACTGGGAGATTTTTTCCTTATACCCTCCTAAACTTGGTATCCTGAAAAATTCTACATGTAGAAAAATACATCGCGGTTTACTCCGCGGAGTTTTGCTGGAAAGTGCTGTTTGGAGAAGGTTCGTGTGCATACGTGCTTGGAAACAAACCTATATTGGGATTAGTGGGATATGCAGAGGGATCCTATGTATGTTTCCTTACAAGTAAGTGTCACTAGTTCAATGGGATTTCTGTCACATACATTTTCAGAGAACTCTAGTTTTACATCTGAGAAAAGATCTATCAAGTGGCTGTTAATGCTAAAAGTTTCTGATAGTGCGCATATCTGCTCTTTCAGCTTAATGAGAGTTGTCCCCAAATGCATGCATATAGGATTGCCCCACGAGGTGGGAGCTTTTTTTAAGTGTTCCCTGTTGCAAGAATATTGGACATATACTTTATAATGCTGTAAGCATAGTGTTTTAAAAGTGTGCCTTCCTTAATGTTCAGCATTTTCCTGTCAGACTTGGGCAACTTTGATGTGAAGGGCATTCTGATAGTTAAAGATCCAATATCAAATTCTTTTAAGATCATTACATGAGAGACAACATACATCCTACTGTTTGCCATGTAAAATGACCCGTGTTGATGCATTTTAAAATGTTAAACAATATAGTTCTGTGATTACATATTTGTAATTCAGTTTATTCACTTGTGTTAAATGATAGCAGATCAAAGAAGGGTCTTATAGGTATTTTCCCCCTGTAAAGTTGTTTCTATTCCTGTTTTAAGAGACATTCTTCGAAGTGTTCTGACACATCTGATAGAATTAAGTTATTCTGTGTTAAACTGCCAAAGAATTTAGATTGTATCTACACAGCATGATTTGGGTGAACAATTTCCATGGAATCTACCCCCTCCAAATTGCCATTGCACATATTTGGATATACATTTCCTCACAACCAGAAAAGGTTTTTCAATTTCTATGGCTAATCAGTTTGAATGCTCGTTTTATGCGTCAATATAGACTTCAGCAATATTGAGATTGTAAACCTATGCATTTTTGAGTTCTTTGAGACTTATTTCTGAGCCAGTGCACATAGGATGAAGCTGCAAGACCAAAGTTGCTTTCACAAGGCCACCAGGGAGGATTTTTTGAAATAGGGTAATGCTTGAATTGATGGCTTTGATTCCCTAGCATAGGCATGCTACAAAATAGTTCTTGAAGAGAAAATAGGTTGTTTCTTTAGGCAACAGAATTTTCTGCCATGCTCTAAGTTTACTTTATTATACACATACCCCTTGGAAATGGATCTCATAATGCAACTTCCTTAAGTAGTACCTTCTCAACTTCAGCCTCTGAATCTGCAGTATGGGATTAATCCAATGGCCTGACTTTCAAGAGCTTTTTTTTTTTAAAGGAATACTGAGATAATGTATGGAAAGTATATGAATGTTCCATATTGTGGAACATTATTGTGGAATGATGTTCCATATTGTGGAACACCAATAAGTAGTGTTGTATAATTTTAAATAGAGCATGTGTTATGAAATAAATGCTGTATATTTAAACACTCGTGCAACTTAGACCCATGTTTGTTCATAACTATGTCCTAGTGATTTCAGTAAGACTTAATCCCAAGTAAGTGCGTATAGGATTGCTGCATGAAGTATATAGGAACATTTTGAAAAGTAATATTTCTTAGTCTGTAGAACAATGCCATAGCAAATAACAGGCATCTCTGAACATATGAGAATCTTTTTTATTGTTTTGTCCTGCAGGCATGTTTTATCACAAAAATCTATATGCAGGTAGCAGAGTTCCTTTTTTAAATTTAAATTTATATTTTTCTTTAGGAAAGTTGTATTGCTTCATACTGCAGATTTCAATTACAGTGGGTTCATAACTTGTTTCATTTCAGATACACTTATATTTTACTTAGTGTTTCCATCCTTAAAAGCATGACATTTTAAGGATGAGCGAACCACAGCAACTGAGTATTTATCACATTTTAAAGCAAGGGCATTCATAGTATAGTATATTTTGATTATGGCGACTAACTCTTTTCAATATTCAGTAGAGTCTAAAAGTTTCAGTTCCAAGCTGTTTCACTGTTGTCCTACTGCTTAAGTGTAAATGTCTTTATCTTTCCTTTAGGGTTCTGAGCATTCAGCACATGGTTTATCAGAAAAATATCATAAACAAATGTTAATAATGTGATTAACAATTGCAACTACACCACTGCTATAGCAATACCTATTGATCTTTAAATTAATACCTTGCTTCTGGTCCATATTTCAGTTAAGCCCAGAATACTTAGAATTAAACTGGTTTGGCTCTTTTCAATTTCAGTGGATGTAAAGTAATTGAAATAGCAGATGGTCTCTTTAATTGCATTGTGAATCTGGCTGTTTAAAACAAGGTTTTCTTTTTGTTTTGTGGTCAGGTGGTTCCAAGTTTCTGTTTTAGAAAAGAAGTAGTTCCTTATCTTTGATTCCAAACTGGAGATTCTCCAGGTGAATACCATAGTATGGGCTCTCATATCAGGACCATTAATATATACTACACTCTTGTTTACCTGCCTTCAAATTAGAGGCATATTTCACTTCATATCCAAGAGGCTCTATAAGTACGAGGGGTGTTCAGTGTATTCTTGGTATCGGGTTGATCTGCTATTGATGTGGGTAATTTAATTATTTCATTAGCTAATGACACTATCTGAGGGTATACATGCAAAATTTCAAATAGGTGTGATCATTAGTTCCCTAGTAATCCTCAGTGAAAGACAACCATAATGACTGATGTGACAATGTTGAAGAAAATCGAGCACCGCGCTGTGATTAAGTTCCTTACAAAACAAGGAAAAAGTCAAATAATCATTCACGAAGAGATGGTGGCCGTTTACCAGGACTCTGCACCTTCATTATCTACTGTTCAAAAGTGGTCAAGTGAATTTAAAAGGGGCAGAGAAAGTATTGAAGACGACCCTCACTTGGGCGGGCCGGTTACTGCCACTACGAAAGAAAATGTGAAAAATATTGAGAAACTTGTATTGGAAGATACCTGAATAAAATTCAAAATGTTAGCAGAGATGACAAACCTATCCGTTGGTACCATATTTACTATTTTTCATGACCATCTTAACCTTTCAAAGGTCTGTGCAAGATGGGTGCCGTGAATGCTCATGGCGTCTCAGAAACAAGTGCGAGTCGAGTGCTGTAGGGAGGTTTTAGATCTCTGTGGTGAAGATCCATCGAGTATTTTCGACCAGATTGTTAGTGGAGATGAAATTTGGGTTCATCACTACGACCCTGAAAGTAAGCAGGAGTCCATGCAGTGGCATAAAAAAGGTGCTGACCCTCCGAAGAAATTCAAAGTCACTCCATCGGCCGGAAAAATCATGGCCACAGTGTTTTGGGACTCAAAGGGAATTTTAGTGATCGAGTACATGAAAAAAGGTGAAACCATAAATGCAGCATCTTACGCAACCACTCTGCATAATTTAAGAGAAGCAATTAAAGAAAAAAGGTGGGGAAAACTGACCGCAGGTGTGTTGCTTCTTCACGACAACACACCCGTTCACACGGTGCATGTTTTGAAGGTTGCTGTGTGAGACTGTGGTTTCGAACAAATATACTACCCACCCTATTGCCTGGACCTGGCCTCCAGTGACTACTGCTATTCCCGAATTTAAAGAAAGATCTTTGTGAGAAGTGATTTTCCGACGATGAAGAGCTCAAGGTGGCAATTAACGCACATTTTTCAGACAAGGAGGAAGGGTATTTTTTACAGGGAATTGAAAAGGTAATTTCTAGATGTAATAAGTGTATTGAAGATATGGGGGGTTACATTGAAAAATAAAAATTATTTCAATTTAGTATTTTTTCTTCATGCTGAAAGCAAGAATACATTGAACGCCCCTCGTATTCCCATTCATCTTATGGGTCAGTAGGCAGATACTCTCCTTGTAGCTGTAGGATAGCCCCATTAATATTGGTTCCTGGCACCCCACCCTCCTCTGCCCAATCTGTCATCACCATAGCCCCCTTCCAGGGCAATGATAATGCTAACTGTGCCAAAGAATCCCAATGTATTCATTCTCCTTCCATTTGCAATGACGTGATTACCCACAGAATGGCAAATTTTTCCTAGCTTGCAAATTGCATATAAATACAATTTATTAACAGAAGAATTAGCCTTCTGTTACCTCTGGGTAAATATGCTTGGTTCTCTTTCACCCTCCCTCTGCCAGGGCACAGCCATTTATTAAGTAAGATCAATTTTGGAAGTCAAGATATGTGGAATTTACTATTTCCTAAAGAGATTTATCAAGTGAGCAAGACAAATTATGAAAATATAATGAACTGTTTTGATTGTAATATCTCTATGGCATTTTTGATATTTGGGAAATGCAAATTCTGAGTGTATGGATCAATTGGTTTGGATAGTCAACTTACATTCTGAAAAATACTGGTTCTTCAGTGTGGCCAAGACACACTTTGGGAAATGGGACCAGACCATTGCAATCACCATTTTTCTGGCTTTTC